AAACGAAGGCTCCATCTATTGGTGGGGAGCAACACCTGCTGGAAATCGGGTCCAGCGTCCCTATACATTGATATGTTGATATATGGAAATGTAAAAATGTGACAATGAGAAACGTATAGAAAAATATAGAAAATCCCCGCGGCCAATCCCTACAGGCAGAGGCATTGATTACTCCCCCATACCGGAGGAGGATTGACCAACTGCACGAAAAACCGTAGGGTTTTGAAGCACACTTCAAAAAGCCACGCCATGTGGCTAACAATGGGCAACTAATACAAGCGATAGGAATGCATGCCATAGCTAACAGTACCTGATGCAAAACGTTACTTCAATATCCTGCCCGTCGCCTCTCATTCACCGGAACCTAAATGAGGCAGCAACAAAAGAGGGGGGGGGAAGGCAAGCAGCATAGGGGTAAGGTAATCAAGCAGCATTCCTGTGTCAAATGAAAATGAAAAGCAAGCCGAGGAAGCGAAACTCCAACCCGATGAATGATATTGCTGGTCGGGCAATAGCAAACATCCCCAACTAGCCAACCCCTATACGCACCATAGCCCACAGAAGAACCCCGCAGGAAGAGTGGGGAAGAAGAAAACCCCATCCCAGACAACCGAAAGAAATGCAGCCACCCTGTTGCAAATACCCAACCCGCTCCTCCCGGGAGACGCATCATCATCAAGAGCATCTTCATTATCATCATCCGCAGCATCGTCATCATCATCAGTAGCATTAGTAGCATCGTCATCATCATAAGCATCATCTACAGCAGCAGCATCGGCCTCACTGGTATCATCACGCGCGCCATCGTCAGGCCCAGCCACATCATCGATAAGACCACCATTGTCATCATCAGCGGCAATAGCAGCTTCGTCATGAGTATCATCAATTCCAGCTTCATCATCACCAGCAGCATCAGCCGCATCATCATCATCGTCATCATCGATAGCATGCATATCATCATCATCAGCGTCATCGTTATCAACAGCGGCATCATCAAGAGCAGCAGCAGCAGCATCAAGATCATCATCATCGGCACCTGCCACGTCAGCGATAAGGCCGCCAATATCTTCATCATCCACAGCAGTAGCAGCCGCAGCATCATCAACAACAGCTGCAGTAGTATCATCAGCATCAACATCATCATGAGTGCTGACGTAAACGGAAAGGTCGTTGTCAGCACTAACGAGGAGTACTCCATTGCTCCCGTGACCAAAGACGCCGTCGGTAGCCACATCGCCAAAGTCGCCGTCCACATCAGCAGCAGAAGTATTGAACTGTTTGTTGTTGTTGTTGTTGTTGTTGTTGTTGTTGTTGTTGTTGATGTTGTTGTTGTTGTTGTCTCTGTAGTTGTTGAAAATGTTATCGTCATTGCCGCCGTTTTCATCGATGTTCTCGCCACCTCCAACGACGATCCCTCTGCTAGCGATGTCACCTCCACAGTTGTCGTTCAAGACACCAAGAGAGCTATAGTTAATAATCTCGAGCTCATTGTTGTTGTTGTTGTTGTTGATGATTTTTTCATTTTTATTGTCGTTGTCGTTACGGTCGTTGCAGTCGATGTTGGTGCTGAAGCTGTTGCCGCCTCTGCTGTGTACAATTGTTGTCGCAGGCGACAATCTCGTCTCCAAAGCAGCCCAGCGATCCTGGCCGTTCCTAAAGACGTAATAGCATCTATGCATGAGCAAGTCAGCTTGATGCCAATCAACAAACTCCTCCAGCGAAGGAACCGGCCCCTCCTCCAACTCCCAAATGATATCAAGCATGCTCTGCATCATGACCTCCAGCCATGGCGCAAGTGTGACTGTCCCCTCTACAGCCTCCATCTGATCACCATGGCTCGAAGACAAAATATCCACAACCTCCTGCAAACAGCGGCCGCCATCTCTTCTATAGTCACCAACCATTCAGCCGCACCCCTTCGTAATTCTTCATTAGGAACCATTTCGTCCAAAAAAAAAAACGCGCCGTCGGATCCTGCAAATCAGACGCCTTACACCGACGTACCGTCCCTGGTGTATCCGGTGGGAATACCACCATTGCCTGGGCAGAGCAACCAAGCAAACACCACGATGACCAAGAACAGCTATGGAACCACAACTGTCCCAGTCCACGGAGTATGGCTGGACCTCGCCAGCCGGTCCGTAGCGCAGGTTAGCGCTAAGCGTTGTCTAATGGTTCGCAAATGGAAGAAGTGCTGGTAGAGGCGATAACAAGAATGAACCGATGGGCGAAAGATACGGATTTGGGGATTGTGGGAAGAGTGTCGCAAATAATGCGGTAAGCTCTACCTACCCTCTGGTATGTGGCCCCGCTGTCGGCCCCAGACAAGAGGGTATGGAGGGAATACAAGCTGGCACTGAGGCGATATCTGTGGAAGAACGACCCAGGCTGCGCGAATCTGATCTACAGAGTTCGTTGGGAAAAACTCATTCAACAGCGGAAGAAAGGGAATTTGGCATTGTTGGATCCACACGTGCAGGCCTCAACGCTTCAAATGAGGACGGTACTGTGGTTGGTGCTGGAGAGGGACGACGCCCCGTGGAAAATTGCGACACTGTCCAGCATGGCACAAACTCTGAAATTGGATCCGGCCGATGTGGAGACAGCGCTTCTACACCTGCAACTCCTAAAGTGTATGACAAGAGACACATTGTGGACCGGGATGTTGGGAGAATGGAAAGCATCGGCGTTGCGACAGGTGGCCCCGAGCACGGTTTCACAGGTGCTGGGACAATCGGTATTTGGAAATCGGCTCGTGCACAGGAATGGGGCGCCCTTTCCATGGCAAGGTGAACCCGGAGCATTTGGGCGGCGATGGTTGCACTGCGGGATACACCGGGTGGTGGATTTATGGGACGGCCAAACAAGGCCACGATGAACTATTGAACAAAGGCCCAACTGCGCCACCAACCAGACAGACAAGAGAGGCTACGGCAACAGAGGAAGGCGATCCCGGAGGATTGGGTGCGTCAGTTACAAGCCGATGAAAGGGTCAGAGGGGAGTGGGTGGCACTAGATACAGAACAGCCACCAAGGACTCTATTTCGATTACAGAGAAGGGAGGGGGAAGAATGGTACAGAGCGGAAGGCTGGAAAATAAACGTAAGTGATGGATCGAGACCTGGGAAGGGACGGCCTGATACATGCCAGCAACATGAGAGCGGTGGTTGTACTCAAAGACCGGTCACAGAAGGACGGTGGGAGATATAGACCTTTCAAGCCGGAACGGTCGCCTTTGCAGTTGCCTTGGGACCCCTCCACGTGGGAATGGCAGGCGAAGAATTTACAACAGAAGCACATGCGACCGCATCAGACGACAACCAAAATTATCTATAGGTCACTGATCGAGCCGGTGGATATGGTCAAAGAAATGTGGGATAGATGGAAGAAAAGAGGCTGGCTGCTGCTGGAAGAAGAGCGGTTCTGGACACAGAAAAATTGGGAAACTGCATGTACCACCTTGATAACACTGCCAGATCAAAAGCAGGCCGGGAATTTGTGGCTTAATCTGCAACTGGCAATTCCGACCTTTCAATGGATGTCTCAGCATAGTGCTTACACAGACACAATTTGTCGTGTCTGTGAACAGGAGGATGAGACGATACCACACCTGTGGTTGGATTGTCCGATGCAGAAGGAGTTCTGGGAACGGTGGGGCTCGATGGGAAAGAATTTACCGCTCCACCCGTCAGCACCAAGCCATAGAAGCTCGGTCCTGGTGGGACAGGCCCTCGCGGGCACCGCCTCAGGTTTGGTGGACGGATACGCGGGGGAGGTGCTGAGGGCGGCGTTCTGGGGGGCGGTTTGGGCGATGAGAGCAAGGAAACTCAAGGAAGGGATAACAGGCTCTACAAGAACATGAAAGGAAAGGACAACCAGAAACCTCAAAGTGGCAATCCTGGCAGACATTCGCAAAAGAGAACAGGGTGGGTGGCAGTTCCTCAAAAAAGCTTGGCGGCAGTTCTCAGAGGTGGTGAACATTGAGAAGGAGCTTGGGAAATGGAGCTGGGGGACGGCATGGGGAGTGGATGCAGAGGACTTGCAGAGGGAAGAAACTGAACCTAGAGAGGAGGAGGAGTTGGATGAGATGGCACAGTGGGGTACCTTGGGGACATCATAACTCGGGGTGGGAAGCGAAAGTGAGGGGGATCACGCAGCTGCGAATACAAACGAAGGGGGACACGCAACCGCGCTGAGTACATTAGAACACAGGACAGGGAACGCAGGGACCCAGACCTATGGAGATGCAGAGAGGAAATGAATCAGGGAGATGCGTAGGGGACTCCGGTCAACATGACAGGGACCGTGGACACTATAAGTACAAAATAAGTAGGGGATGAGGATATGATTAGTGCTGGAAATACACTGTAGATGGGGAAAGGGGTGGAGATGGGGGTGGTGCGTGGGGGTACAGTAAACGTGAGACAAAAGGATGGGAAGAAAGGAGTAGTGCTGTAAATGTACTATAGAAGATTCGAAACTGGGGAAAGGGGCGGAGAAAGGTGCTGTAAATACACTGTAGAAGGTTAGTGATTGGGGAAAGGGGAGGAGATGCGGGAGGGGGGTGGGTGTACAGTAAATGAGAGACAAAGGTGACAGTCGGTGCCAAAAGGCTTGGGTAGATATATGGATGCGACGTCAGTAGGACTTTGGGAATAGAAGGGAGAGTGAGGAGTGGACGGGAGACAGTTAAAAAAGGAAAGGGGCAAAGGAAAGGAAAACTGGGAAATAGGGATAAACAGGGAAGTGCCAAATGGCTTTAGGTAAAAAGGAGAAGGAAGAGTGATAAAAAAGACGGTGGCGGATGTAGGGGCCAAATGGCTTTAAGGGTAAATGTGAGTAGGGATTGAGCAGGGGAACTGCGAATGTCACGGCGACAGAAGACGAAGAACAGTGGAGGGAAGGTGGGAGGGTAGACTAAGTACTCGAGAGAAATTGGGATTAAAAGCAAGGATTAAGAGGGGATAGATGGAGGAGGGCATGGGAGGGTGGATTTTGGGGACACGGGAGTGATACTTCTAGGGGGGAGCGAGGGGAGAGGGTTGGTCTAGCAGGTTCCTGGCCCCCTTGGGGGAGTGTGGCGACTGGGTGCATACCGCCTCCCGGCAACACTCCACCAAGGGGGGGGTGAGCCTCAGTTCACCAACCATCAGAAGCCGTCACAGGCGGATTGGGGTGCTGGCCCCGATCCAAGACCTCCCAAAAAACTATGTGCTGTCTGTGCTGTCTGTGCTGTCTTTTTTCGGATTCAAAATTCTTGTCTGCTTGCCGGTGATAAGCAACCGGACTGCCGCCCCCCAGAATAGATGGGGCATGTGTGTGTGTGTGGAAAAAAAAAAAAAAACTGCGGATGGCACTCTCCGAAATTGTCTACAGGTCGGCGTTCGTCGGCCCCCACACCCCTCTGTGGCCAGTCCTGGGGAAGCACATTCCCTGTCTTCTCCCTTCCCTCTACCTGTTCTCCTCCTCCCTCCCGGCCATCCTTTTCTTCTCCCCCCTGATCCTGTGCCATCTTCCTCCCTTCCCCGCTCTTTCCCAACCGACCGTTACCGTCTTGTTCTTGTGCATGTGGAGATCCCCCATCGGCTTCCTCCCGACCGTCCTCCCCAACCCTTTTCTTTTTCCCACCCAACTCCTGGATGATAGTGTCTGGGCCGCGGTGATGTCTGCATCGAGGGGAGGCATCCCTCCCCACTCTCCTGGTGTGTATCCTTCCAGAGTGTATACCATGTTTCCTCCACATCTTTCGTCCAGGCGCAGACGACGTGGGGAGAGCGGCAGCAGTCCTGTTCCGCTCATGCTACCACTCCGGAGCACCGATCGTTTGTGTTTTCTGTCTTCTCCCCCTGCTTGTCCCACGTCTTTATTTGTTCCTCTTTTACTTTCTCCCCTTCCAGTCCAATCCTTTCTCCTTCAACGTTCAGCGGTTTCTTCATCCGTCTGACCGCCTCCACAGCCATACGGTGGCCGAGGCCTACGGGAGGGAGCAACAGGAGCTGCAGGTGAGGATGGAGAATGGTATGAAAGACGGGACGGAACGACAGCAGGACGGACTTGAGGATCAGAGGCAGAGGGATCACCGTATGTCTATCGAGGTGGCGAGACGGATGAAGAAACTGCTGAACGTTGAAGGAGAAAGGATTGGACTGGAAGGGGAGAAAGTAAAAGAGGAACAAATAAAGACGTGGGACAAGCGGGGGGAGAAGACAGAAAACACAAACGATCGGTGCTCCGGAGTGGTAGCATGGGTGGAACAGGACTGCTGCCGCTCTCCCCACGTCGTCAGCGCCTGTACGAAAGATGTGGAGGAAACATGGCATACACTCCGGAAGGATACACACCAGGAGAGTGGGGAGGGATGCCTGCCCTCGGTGCAGACATCACCGCGGCCCAGACACTATCGTCCAGGAGTTGGGTGGGAAAAATAAAAAAGGGTTGGGGAGGACGGTTGGGAGGAAGCCGATGGGGGATCTCCACATGCGCAAGAACAAGACGGCAATGGTCGGTTGGGAAAGAGGGGGGAAGGGAGGAAGATGACACAGGATCAGGGGGGAGAAGAAAAGGATGGCTGGGAGGGAGGAGGAGAACAGGTAGAGGGAAGGGAGAAGACAGGGAATGTGCTTCCCCAGGACTGGCCACAGAGGGTTGTGGGGGCAGACGAATGCCGGCCTGTAGACAATTTCGGAGAGTGCGACCGATTGGCCCGCCGACTGGGAGAGGAGGAGGGGAGAGAGGAGTTAGTTCCACAGGATGAAATGACACAGGAACCTCGCCCTGAAGAGGACACAGGGGAACAATTGGGGGAGAAAGGGGAGGACAAAGAATGTTCGAGCTCTGCCCAGTGCTAGGAAGACGAGGTTCAAAAACGGATGAGTGAAACAAGGACAGGGGTGTGGAAGAGGGGAATGGGGGGGAGAGAGAAGTCAGAAGGGCACGGGGAGCGGCGAGAGAAAGTGGGCTACGGAATACCGTAGGCAAAATGAAGAAGAGACCGAGACAGCGGAAAAACTGTCGTCACACGTGCGCCCGCGGAATGAGATGCGGGCCAAAGGCCAGGGCAGGCGGGGCCACCTTTTCGGATGTCGAAAAAAGCCCATCACCCAAGCGGACGAGAAAGAGGGAAGGCGGTCGGATCTTGGAAAGCCCGACGTGGAGTGAATGCCAGACGATTCTGCAGAATCCGGGATTACCGCCATCAGGGAGAGGGGAGGAGCAAAGGATAGATGAGGGAGAAACGGCGGACAGGCGGATAGGGGAGGAATTACAGTCGACGGAGAATGGGGAGCCGCGACGAAGGGACGAGAGAGAGGTGGGGGACAGAAGGAGGGGGGAAGATAGAAGAGGAATGTGGAGGGGAGACAGTCAAAGGGCCGGGGGGAATGAAGGAATGCAAAGGGTTCAGGAGGAGGGAGGACAAACTTCCACACCAAACCAGATATGTGATCTCAACCTTCCCCGGCGACCCCCAATGGACGACACGATTACCTCTCAGGGGAGGACCAGACTGGGCTCCCCAGAGCCTCGTCGACGAGCTGTGGACGAAGATCCGGATGAACAACCAGCGGAGAGAACAGCGGGGGCTAACCAGGATCGCAAAGAGGAGACGCGCGTAAATGCCAGACCAAGGATGCTGTTGCTTGATCGGGCGTTCGACGATCTCCGCAGGGCGGGCCGATTACGGCTGGTGCCGCTGGCTTTTAGAAACGATTTGGGTAGCCTTGATATCCTCATTGCGGACCACGAAGCAACTGAAATGGAGGTCCGTTTTGCGATGGTGGGATTCGAGGATCACCCTTCGCAACAGCGCGCTATTACAACCGCCAGGGGTTGGGTGGGGAACAACTACGTTATAACACCCGTCTCTGGAGTTTCGGCGATACGATTGTTGGAAAGGGGCGGGGATGGCCGGGTGATGGGCCTTAACTGCTTCATGTTGTAGGCGGCGTTCAATATCGATGCATGTGTACCATCGCTGGCCCCGCAATTCATGTGGCAGGATTTTTGACAGACCTTGGACTGCGCAATGCAGACAAATGGATATGCAACAACGGACACAGTGGCGGTCCATATTTTGAGGGGAATTGATCAACGACTGCCGGACGATAAGAAGTTCACACACTATGAGTTCTGGCTGAGGGGAATGCAATGGCCCATGCTTAGAGACCCGATGCAACGCGGCCGCCGGCAACCCGCGTCATCGCCACAAGACATGTCGTCGGCAGCAGGAAGGGGCCAAGGGGTGTCGGCTCGGCAACAAAGGTACCAGACCAGGTTGTCGAGACAATAGCATGTGCGACTTAATACATCCTCCTCGCCCCTTCCACAGGGATCAATGCCGAGGACCGATTGAGGATATTCCCTTTTTTTTTTTTTTTTTTTTTTTTTGCATCGCATCGCTGAGCAACCGGAAACGCGCGCGTTCATACCCCCCGGGGCCGCGTTCAATCGCGTTCAAAATTTGAACGCGACACCGGGGGGCGTGCGCGCACGTTGCGGAGTCTGCAGACTACGGGGTGGAGGGCCTTGTTCAACAAATCACGAAAGTGCAAAAAAAAAAAACCCGGGAGGCCCACCACCCCGTAGGGAGCAGCGGCGCTACTTGGGGGGGGCTGTGGGCCAATGCCCCAGACAAAACAGAAAAAAAAAAAAAAAAAAGTGTGTGAATGTGTGTGTGTGTTTGTGTGAATGCTCCTTTTTTTTTTCCGGGGGGGGTGGGGGAATCCCCCTAACACGGCTCAGACGGCCCATGCAGGCTTTCTCAAGGGTCCTCGCAGCCTTGTGGCGCAGACCCCCCCGCCAAAATCAAGCCAGGCAATGAATATGAAGGTATATATACTCAAGATTCGGATTCAGGTCTGTGTTTCAGCAGTTATGGGTTGCTCACGTAGCTAGGCCGTGTTGGTCTATGCACGTGATTCTGAGGGCTTGGCTGCACTACTCACCAAATGTGCAAAACTAGAATGAATCTTCTGCAGAACGTGGAATAATACGCTGCCATATGTTTTGTCTTTTTTTTTCTCGTTTTTCTTTTCTTTTGTTTTTTTTTCTCATTTATCTTTTTTCTCGTTTTTCTTTTTTTCTCTTTTTTCTTTTCTTAGGAATACGTGCAGTGGCCCTAAAAGAAAAACAAAAGAAAANGTTCCTTGCCTTTATTGGCTGGGATCCAGAGCCGGCGCTGTTACTTGGAAAAAATTAGAGTGTTCAAAGCAGGCCTGTGCTCTGAACATATTAGCATGGAATAACGCGATAGGACTCTGGTCCTATTTCATTAGTCTTCGGGATTGGAGTAATGATTAATAGAGACGGTTGGGGGCATTCGTATTCCATTGTCAGAGGTGAAATTCTTGGATTTATGGATGACGAACTWCTGCGAAAGCATTTGCCAAGGACGTTCTCATTAATCAAGAACGAAAGTTGGGGGATCGAAGACGATCAGCTACCGTCCTAGTCTCAACCATAAACGATGYCGACTAGGGATTGGCGGATGTCTATTGGATGACTCTGCCAGCACCTTATGAGAAATAAAAGTTTACGGGTTCCGGGGGGAGTATGGTCGCAAGGCTGAAACTTAAAGGAATTGACGGAAGGGCACCACCAGGCGTGGAGCCTGCGGCTTAATTTGACTCAACACGGGGAAACTCACCAGGTCCAGACATAGCAAGGATTGACAGATTGGGAGCTCTTTCTTGATTCTATGGGTGGTGGTGCATGGCCGTTCTTAGTTGGTGGAGTGATTTGTCTGGTTAATTCCGTTAACGAACGAGACCTCAGCCTGCTAAATAGCTACGCGGGGACCTTTCCTCGTGGCCARCTTCTTAGAGGGACTGTTGGACGACTAGCCAACGGAAGTTTGAGCAATAACAGGTCTGTGATGCCCTTACGCACGCTACACTGATGAATCCAACGAGTCGCTTGCCTGGGTCGAAAGGCTTGGGTAACCTTCTTAAGGTTCATCATGACGGGGATAGATTGTTGTAATTATCGATCTTGAACGAGGAATGCCTAGTAAGCGCCAGTCATCAGCTCGCGCTGATTATGTCCCTGCCCTTTGTACACACCGCCCGTCGCTCCTACCGATTGAATGGTCCGGTGAAGTGTCTGGATTGCGGTGATCTCGGCGGTTTGCAGCTGGGGGTGTTGTGAGAAGTTCATTGAACCTTATCATTTAGAGGAAGGAGAAGTCRTAACAAGGTTTCCGTAGGTGAACCTGCGGAAGGATCATTGACACGTGAATGGCCGATCTTCGGGGTGTGGGACGCTGGCTTGCTCGCCCTTCCGCCGCCCTTTGCCTCCATCCTCCCTGCATCCGCTTTTCTCCTCCGTTTTAACACCATCTTGGGCTTAGTGCCCAGTCGGCGGCTGGTCCGGCGCAGAGGGGGGCGTGGTGTAGGTCAAGGGTGGGGGGAGTGGGTAGGGTTCGGGGCCTTGTGCCGTTGCTCCCCCTTCATCCCGTCTCGCCTCCGCAGGTTGTTACCTCGACCTAGCCCCATTCTCGACTTCTGGTCGGGATGGCGGTTGGTCCGGGCACGGACAGCCCTGCAGGAGGGTCAGGGGCGGGATGTTGGGTGGTGGCGGCTGTCCACGGCCTGCGTACCCCCGCTCCTTCCCGTCTCGGCTTTGTCCATACCTCCTTTCCATCCCGGCCTCAACCTCCGCTTCGTGCGGAGCTTGTGGCCTGTTCGGGGATCGAGGGTAGTGGTAGAGGCGAGGGGCGGGGTGTGTTGCGGGGTCCTCGGCCCCTCCCCGTTTCGTCCTGGCTTCCTTCCCAACGGGGTTCTCCTTTCCGGACAGATCGGCGGCCTCGACACAGTCGAGGTGGTCTGAATCTCGGGGTGGAGGGCCGTTTGGTCACGAACGGGGCGGAGTCGGGTGGGGAGGGGGAGGAGACAGCGCTTGCACCCTCGTTGCCCCGCTGCTCCCCGGTGCCCTGCCTGGCCCCCCGAACGGGGGGTTGGACGGACCTGTGGCAGCGGGCGGTGGCGACAGCTTTGCAACTTCTTATTGATGTACCTGCTCTGATTTGTTGCTGTCCGGGTTGACGACCCCCTTTTGTTCTAGTTGAGGGGTCGGTCCTGTCGGAACGACACCATATTGTAGAACTCTCGGCAAACGAATATCTTGGCCCTCGCAACGATGAAGAGCGCAGAGAAATGCGATACTGAATGTGAATTGCAGAAATCCGTGAGCCATCGATACGTGAACGCACGTGGCGCCCAAGGCTTCTGCCGAGGGCACGCCCGCTTGAGCATCATTGGATTCCTCACGACGTCAGCACCTTCCGTTTCGGAGGGTGGTGGGGTCCGTGGTCGTGGCTTCCCTCGC